AGGGAAGAGAGATCACCGCAGCCATAGGGCAGTGTTCAGGCTGGAGAGCAGCCCTCTTCTGGGCCACCACACTTGTTTCCACATGACTTATTGGTGTCCCTTGAGGTGTAAGGGACAGAAACCCTGCTCAGATTAGCCTATGTCCATAAGGGAATTTATTGGCTTCTAGGTGGGAAGGATTCTGGCATAGCTCATTAATATCAAAAAAAAAAAAAAAAAGATACCAAAAACAGTGCCTCAGGGACTGATTCCAGAGATTCAACAGCCCCAGGATGTTCTGTTTGTTTCAGCTTCTATGTATGTATGTGCAGAGGGCTTCTTATGAGGTGAGTATGGCCACCTCATCAAAAAGAAAGAACTTGAAATAACTCAGACAGAGAAAGACAAATACTGTATGTTATCACTTATATGTGGAATCTAAAAAATAAAACAAATAAATGAATATAACAAAAAGAAGCATACTCACAGATATAGAGAACAAACCAGTGGTTACCAGAGGGGAGAGGAAAGGAGGGGGAGGGGCAGGATAGGGGTAGGGGGTTAAGAGGTACAAACTACTATGTATAAAATAAATAAGCTACAAGGATATATTGTACAGCACAGGGAATATAGCCAATATTTTTTAATGACTTTAAATGGAGTATAATCTATAAAAATATTGAATCACTGTTGTACACCTGAAACTAATATAATATTGTAAATCAACTATACTTCAATTTTTAGAAAGAAAGAACTTCTTTATCCTAGAGTCAATATAGCAATCCCAGGGAAGGACTCTGATTGGATCTGACTGGGTCACATGCCCACACTGCAGTAGAGAGGAAGGTGGATAGGAAAGCTAGCTGGAAAGATCGTTGTCCACGACACCTTTTTCCCTTCCCAGGTTTGAATAATTTTGACAGCCCCAAGCTTGGATGACTCAGGAACATATTCTGTGAGCAAGAAGGGTTGGGGTTTCTCTGCATGATTCAAAAGCTCGGACTCTTCTAACTGGTACTGGAGTCACACTTAGTCTTACAGTGGCTTCCTATTCCTCTTTCAACCCTGAGACACACAAGGAAGAGAAATCCTGAATGTCCACTCCATGTTTTTATTACTTTATAAACCATATTTTTTAGCTACTCTTCCACTCTATCCATCATAACACTGTCCAAGACAATGTAAAGTCTTATGATTGCTGGTATAATTCTGACTTTGTTCTTTTGCTTTTGTTTTTGAGACGTCAACAGTGGAAAATGAAAGATACATTGGTAGGACACCCTAACTGAAACTGGTTTGTCACTGAGTCTCGTGTATTTGAAATGGGTCATTCATTTTTAGTAAATGAGGATGATTCTCAGAAGTTGATCGATTTTATCAAAGGGTAGCATTAGATCTGCATGCAACTCTTGGTAGAATCTGCTCTCATTCTATAGTGAAAATATCAGAAGAAAGTGAGAACCTATATGAATAAGTCTGGCAATGTTGCATGAAAAAATCTCTTTATTGACATAGGGAAATACTCAAAATATAGTGAGTGTTAAGTGCAAAAGCGAGCTAGCTGTACACATCCATGTGTGCGTATGCAAATACATAGTAAAACATGCCAAATTTAAACAGTGGTATCTCTGTGAGATGGGATTGTGGGTGGGTTTTGCTTTTTTCTTTATTTTTGCCTGGTTTTCTACGCTGAGCGTGTATTATTTTTGTAATTGGAAACTTTTATTTGAGAAACATACAAATCTTTGGCCACAAATCTACTCATATTTTTGCAGAGCAGATAATGTGAAAAAAATAAGGTAAGACACTCAGGCTCCAGTTCAAAGCCAGCTACTCCCTGACCTTGGACAAATACCATCTTCCTTCTGCGTCTTACCTCTGTACAATGAGGGATTAAAGTAGATGATCTCCAAGGACTGGTCAGGCTTCAGTCTCCTACACTCTAAGTTATAAGAACATTGCAATTTGATTTGTTGGAAAAGCTATTATTTCATGTAGAGTGAGGGAGGTGACATCACTGCTGAACAGGTATTTATTAAAAGTCACTTAGTAAAAAAAGAAAAGAGTTTGTTCTGAAATCTTTTATAGAGTTAGGTATTTTGTCATCTTCTAATATTTAAAATTTGGTGGCTGTTTACTTATTAATACTTAAAAGTGAATTACTGTCATTATCTTATTATTCTGAATAATACCCAATTTTTATTAAGAAAATTCTCATTATGTGAGAGCTGGCCTCTGTTGGCTGATGTACAAGAAGGAATTTATTGCAAAATTCACCTTTGGCCCTGGGGCTGGTGAAAAAGGAAAGATCCTGGCTGCCAACTGCTCCCAGGCTCCCCGCTTCCCATTTCATTCAGTCAACAGGAGAGGTCATTCAGGAGTGAATGCATCCTTTGTGCCTGTGGGAAAGGAGCCAGTAGCTAGGCTTGAGAAAGGAGCAGTACCGGTCAGCCCTGCCTGCAGCCAAAATGCTATATCCTCACTGACCAGCGTCCCAATGCCAGGGAGAACGAGACATTCTCAAATCCTCTACCCTGAGAGTAAATCTGTCAGGTTCCACTGCTTGTATTAAATTCAGTACATTTGGTGAATGGGAATAAAAAGGGAAAAGATTTGAGATCTGAGACTTGCACTTGACGAATGCAAATGAAAATGTCCCTACCATCAAGCTACGTCTGACTTGGGCTGTGAGAGTGGGCCTTTATTGAGGCAGGACCCACTGCAGACTTGTTCCTTTCAACTTGTCCAAGGACTCCAGTAACTCAGCCAAGAAAAAGATGAGCTGCCAACACACTCCTTTCAATGCAACACACTGAGGCCTGCATCTTCCTATACCAACAGTGCTATCAACCGTGGTTACATTCCACAGTAGCCTGCAAAATTCAGTTTAGTACAGCTGTTTGCATGGTATATTTGCCATGAAAGCCAGTATGAAATCCTTTTACTTTTATTTTTTTAAAATTTTTTGCCCCACCACACGGCATGTGGGATCTTAGCTCCCCGACCAGAGATCAAAGCCGCGCCCACTGCAGCGGAAGCACGGAGTCTTAACCACTGGACTGCCAGGGAAGTCCATGCATTTCTATTTTATACACTATAGTTCAAGAAACCTATGGATTAACAAACGTTCATAAGACTAGCCTAGGCATCTGCCTTCTATATATTTTTCTGAGTTTTTTTTTGAGTAAATTTAGTTCTCACATTTGAGAAAATGTTATCCTAGTTCCCAACTAACATATAAATGAGCTTTAAGCAAATAAACTCTTTGTAATCTGGGAAATTACTGGGCTTTTTTAATGTTTTTTAAATTTTATCTTTATCTTATTTATCCTTACTCAGCTTTTGTGCCTGAGTATATGATCATGATCTAATATCTGTCATGTTATCAGTATTTTTTTTTTTATCACAAATGAGGTCTTTTATTTGTCACAATTAAAAGTCTGATTTTTAAACAGATTCCTGGACTGGTGGCTCATGTCCATCAGCTCGTTCAACTTTAGCACCTGTCTCGTCCCCAGTAGCTTTTCCAGAACTACTACCTTCACCATGTAGCTCCATGAGTTTTCCCAATTCAAACTTGGGTTTCTTCAGCATTTTTACTTTTCTAACAAAGACATCATGGAGTGGATAAATAGGTTGGCAGGCCTTTTCTATGTCTTTTCCAATGCTGTCTGGAATCAGTTTATTGACCACCTCTTTCAAGTCATTTGTCTGCACCTCTCGGGTCATGATTTCCATCATCTTCTTGCGGATCTGGCGGACCTGCTGGTGCTGGGCATAAGAGGTCTTCCGAACCTGAGTGTTGCGTTTTTTAGTAAAACCCACACAGAAGAGACGAAGCAAATAACCATCGGTAGTCTTGACATCAACGTGAGCTTCAGTCGTGGTCTGCCATTTTTTGACCATGGAGCACATTTTGTCACGGGTAAGATCCACGCCATGGAAATTAGTCAGGCAGTTTTTGCCCTGAACATCCTCAGTAATAAGCTTGAATTTTCTAAATGCAACTTCATCATTCTGCAGATCAGCAAGGCTCACTGCAAACACACGACCCTTGAGGCCATCAGATGGGATTTTGGTTCCTTGAGTTCTCGTGACTAGTGGTTTCCCAATATTTCTTATATTGAACATAGCTGGTGCTTTCACATCATACCAATCTTTCTTAGAAAATGGGTCAACCACTTCCTTCTTGGCTCCCTTTTTACCGCCTTTCGTAAGGCGCTTGTTCTTTCCGACCACCATGGCACTGCTCCGAGAGCCAAAAGGATGTTATCAGTATTAAAGAAGGCCCTGTAATCTCATCAGGAGTCTGAAGATCCACAGTTCTCTCCCTGAGCTCTCCTTCTGTTGACTTAGATATCTTAGTTTGACTTAAGTTACCTTGGCAGAGACCACGTCTTTCTACTGTGAACCGCAGCAAGGATGAGGTCAGGCCTCAGTAATATTTCATAGTGAAAATATCCGCAGCTTCTCTGACAGTCTGCAGAAGGAGCTGGTCCCACTGCTGAGCAATCCCACTGTCAGGCAGAAGCGGCTTGTAGCAGGACAAGGAGAGGGGTCTGCTCCACCTAGAAAGGTGCCCCTTATTCCAATATGATCTCAGTCTGAATCACCTGTGCAGTCTATTCCTATAGACATGGGGGAGAGGTAGCCTCTGGGGCACTTTTTCTGCTGTTCAGATCCCGACAAACACCTAGAAGGAAAATGGAGGTTTTAGCGTATCTCTCTACCCGCTTTGCTCCCCCAAGTAAGATCGCAGCAGGTGTCTCTCCTCAGAGGTGTCATTGAGGAACCAGACAGGGGCACACAGCCCGCCCGCCGATGAGGAGAACGATGGGCCAGGAAGCCACCACGTGGTGTGAACAGAGAGGGGAGCGCACCTTCGCTTGGAGGGCGGGGAGGAGGGAACGTGAAGGGCGGCCCGAGCTGGCCCTTGAAGAGAAGCGGGCAGGGAACTAGACCAGCGGGACAAGACGGCGCCCATCCTTTTAACTCCTGGTTGCCAATCTCTTGTGTTTCAGAGGAAAGGCAGCCGGCACGTGAAAGGTGAAGACAGGAGCAAAGTCACGAGCAGGAGCGTCGGATTGGACACGGCCCTGTCACACCCTGCAGAGGGCTGGAGCCCGCCCGAGGCGCGCCTCCTCGCTCCTTCTCGAGAATGCTGGATGAAGAAGAGGCCGGCCCAGCACAGCAGCTTCTCCGGGTTCAGCAACAGTGACAGTGTCCTGCGGGAAATAGATGATGGACAGTTTGACCAGGAAGATGGAGTAACTCAGGTCACTTGTATGTGAGCAAAGAAGGAACAGAGGCCTTGTAAATAATTATTAAAATAATTGCCAAGTTACTTTATTGTATTGCTTTATCTGCATTTATGGAATACTTTGAATTTTTCCAGACTCAGGCTTTCCTCTAATCTACGTAAACTTTGGCTCAACCTTCCAGGCAAGGAAGAATAACCAACATATTTGTAAATTTAGAATCATGTTTACAGTTTTCTCAACTAAAACATCTGTTTAAGCAGATGTCTTATGAGGTTATTAACTGATAATGTACTTCAGTGTCTCATGAATGTGTAAGGTATACTTTTCTTACAATTCCTGGTAAGACAACTAAATATTTCAACCAGTATTTTCACTTAATTAGAAAATTCTCAGGAAGTTAGAGCCTTACTTAAGCTGAAAATTCTCCCTCTCTCTCTCTCTCTCTTCCACACACACACACACACACACACACACACACACACACACACACAAAGGCCTAATTAATAAAGTACCTATTTCCTGAATATAACAATTAATCTAAATTTTGTCTTTAACTATGGCAGGTATGTACAAAGCAAACCCTTATTTGTTAAAATATTCTTTGAAAAAAAATCCTTTTTGTATGTCTTTGGTTTTAAAGGGTCACCATGTTACCAACCTCGTACTAAATTCATTGAGCTTAAACTTTCTTGTGTCTGATAGCCTAGAAACACAGCAAAGCACCATCCCTTAAAATTCAATATGAGAAGAACCCACAATCTCAATATTTAAAAACCGTAGTAGACAGAATTAATTTTCTTTCTTTTAAATTGTAAATAGTCTGAAAAGGGAAACATCAACTTTAAATGGAAACTGAAGTCTTTTATCGGCCTAGATATGAATTACGCTTTTATTTTGATTGCTAAAGCATAAAGAATGTGGAAACCCAGAATTTTCAGTCCTGCAGGAGTAAAACGGTGCTCATAGCACATGCAACGTGTACAGTGACTTATCTGTTCCATCTCTGCTTTTCTTGCTCTGCTAGTAGGGATGGCTTTGCCTTATCCAGCCTTTAACAGGTAAAGACTAAAATTTTACAAAATAGAGGATTTTCATTTAACTACGAAAGGCTTACTTTGAAATGTGGTTTACTTCAAATGAATTACAACTGTGCCATTGATGAGTTCAGCCTATTATATATTTTTATTAGCATTGGTGTTGACATTATAAAGTCATTTGAATAATAAAATGTCATTTGTAATTGGGCTATTGTTTTATTGAACACAAATGCTCATAATGTTTTACACATATGACAGATATGTATTACGTGTTATCAAATACATAGCGTAACTAGGGACTTCCCTGGTGGTCCAGTGGTTAAGACTCTGCACTCCCGATGCAGGGGGCACAGGTTCAATCCCTGGCTGGAGAACTAAGAACCTGCATGCTGCACAGTGTGGCCAAAAAAAAAATAAATAAACTAAATAAATAAACTAAAAAAGTTTTTATGTAAATCTGTTATGTAAATCAACCATATGGTTGACATGTAAATCAAACATACTTCAAAAAAAATGTATGGTGTAACCAAACTATGTTGATCTCCATGAATTGTTGGTAAGATTGACATGGAATTATTCTCCTTCTACCGTGCAGAAGCATTACCTTTATAGGTATAAAGGAACTGAAGAATATTCTGCTCAGTATTATTCCATGGAAATAGCTATCAACAGTATTTGCAGAAGTGTTTTTTATGTTTTGATTTTTAGGTGAACCTGAGTTCTATATTCAAGAGTTGGTGGATTTTTGGTAGAAATAAATACTACTTCTGGAGCCCACAAAATGCCATGAGTTACGAAACACAGGTAATGAACTCAGAAAGATCAGTTTTTCCCAATGCCAGGGTCTACAACAGGCAGAGATTATGGTATATTCTGTTAGTGTAAAGAAGGGATTTGAAGTATTAAAAACAGAGAAAGAGGGGGCTGCCCTGGCGCAGTGGTTGAGAGTCCGCCTGCCGATGCAGCGGACGCGGGTTCGTGCCCCGGTCCGGGAAGATCCCACATGCCGCGGAGTGGCTGGGCCCGTGAGCCATGGCCGCTGAGCCTGCGCGTCCGGAGCCTGTGCTCCGCAACGGGAGAGGCCACAACGGTGAGAGGCCCGCGTACCACACACACACACAAAAAAAAAAAAACAGAGAAAGAAATTTATATCGACTAAAGGAAAACTCAGAAATCTCTTTTATTTTTTAAAAATTTGTATAATACTTTCTTTTCACAGTTTGTTTCTAATCTGTTATTTCTTATATTAAAAAAATCTTTTTATTAGAATAAACTTAGCGGTCATACACTTAAAACCTATTTTATAAACAGTTACTCCAACATTTACCCTTAAGTTATGTGGCAAATTTGTATGATAGTGAATAAATAATGACCAAATGGGGCTTCCCTGGTGGCACAGTGGTTGAGAGTCCGCCTGCCGATGCAGGGGACGCGGGTTCGTGCCCCGGTCTGGGAGGATCCCGCATGCCGCGGAGCGGCGGGGCCCGTGAGCCATGGCCGCTGGGCCTGCGCGTCCGGAGCCTGTGCTCTGCAATGGGAGAGGCCACGGCAGTGAGAGGCCCGCGTACCACAAAAAAAATAATGACCAAATGGTTCTAGGGCATTTTAATTATATATAAGTAACTCTGAGTCTCTTTTAAAAAACAAAAAGTAACAAAACTTGGACTCTATATGCCTAAGAAGTTAAATGTGAGCAACTTTATCATTATCTGCCAGTTGTACATTCGGTTCTTTTCATAATGCTGTGTAATTCCTTAGGGGCTGTGGCATGTGAATTTTTTTTTTTTTTTTTTTGCGGTACGCGGGCCTCTCACCGTTGTGGCCTCTCCCGTTGCGGAGCAACAGGCTCCGGACGCGCCTGCTCAGCGGCCATGGCTCACGGGCGCAGCCGCTCCGCGGCACGTGGGATCCTCCCGGACCGGGGCACAAACCCATGTCCCCTGCATTGGAAGGTGGACTCCCAACCACTGCGCCACCAGGGAAGCCCTGGCATGTGAATTTTTAATACCTATAAATTATGATGATGAAAAAATATGCAGATCATAGATGTGGGTGTGAGGTTCTGCCATTCCCCTTGGTACAGCAGCATCTATGGCACTTCTGTCTTAGGTTTCCATAACCACCTGGTAGTTCCATCCCATTTGGGTTGAATGTCACCTGTTATCTCCATGGGCAGCATTTAGCACCTAATTACCAGAGAAATTGCCACTGAGCTGGGGAGCAGCTCTATCAATGTCACTTAAAGACAACAGAAACATCACTCTTTTTAAGAGACTTGAGGGCTTCCAGGAGCCTTCAGACACCTATAGGAGCAGGAGGCAGGGCTGTGGTAAGTCCAAATCACAACTATCATCTCCAAATCATTTGTTTTATCAAGAGCAGGTGTTTGTATATTTGACTATAAATGTACCAGTTGCATTTTCATTTCTTTCATTCTGGAACAGCTAAGGAACTGTCTCTTTTCCCAGCCTTTCCTCACTACCTTAACTCCTCGCTACCATTCCCTCTAGGCTGGAAGGACTATGGCTCTTTCAGCATTAAGACTAAAAAGGATTTCCTTCTCTCAACTCCTCAGGGCCCCAGCAGCCACCTGTATGGAAAGACAAAATTTCAAGTGAGCACTGAAATGGAGTGGTGCTAGCAATGGGGAGAGTCAATAACTAAGCATTTTAATTCAAAATACACTGGTGGGTATGTAGGAAAACCGGCTAAATGCAAACCACCAGAACCATTTAAATAATATTAATTATAGCAATTTATCATACCTTGAGAGCGAGTTTTACTTGTGCAATAGGCCCAAAGTTTATAGAGCCAGTTCTGACAAATGATTTATACATAAACATAAGATGACCAGTGGTGAGTTTCTTGGTTTTATTTTTGCCTCACGTATCTCAGACTTGGAAGCTGAAGAAACCAGCAATCAGGAAATGCCAATGCTGCAGACCAAGAAAACCCTAAGAAAAGCCTAGCATGATGGCACATATTTAGACAATAACTGTTCTACTCCAGCCAAACACCACCACAGAAAAACCTGTGACCTCACCTGGACCTACACCAGCACAGACCGAGTGGAAAGCCTAGATTTCCACCCTCACAAGGCTATACCAAAGGGGCCCAACACCACGGCCAGGGTGGTGTCAGAGAAAGACAGTAGGGAACTGGGGATTTCATCCCCGGGGGCCAGTCAGAGGCTCCCCACCTTCACCGCAGAGTTAGTGGAGGTCATGTAAGAAGTTTGGACTTCACCCCCATCCGTCGTTGTTGTATACCTAGACAGCAGCTTCAAAGGAAACTCAGTTCTGGTAACATGGGAACATTTTTTTTCTTTAACTTCCTTTGCCTGTTGAATCATTTCCCTGCAACACAGTATCTCAACTGCCGAAAATAAAGTTCCAAAGTGTACACTAAGGCATAAAAGGCCAGTGAAGCAAACCGTAAGAAATGGAAATCAAGTTATTCTTATCTTCTCATCAAAAATGTAATCACTAAATAAAACACCTGGGGGAATTAGAAGATTTGCCCACATGGAAAAAAGTTTGAATTGACCCTCCATGTTTCAATCAAGTGTTCACTCTGTCCTCCCAGTTAATCACTGCTGTGCCTGAGCCGCCAGGAGACCTGACTCTGGGCAGGCTAGCCAAGAACCACCCACACAGACACCTGGGAAATCTGAAGTCCAGGCTTTCTAATGTAAGAATTTCTTTGGTTGGTTATGCAGAAAAACTGTTAAAATACACACATTTCAACTCCTTTGTGTCTTAATGGGGATACTAATCCTCAGGGACAGAGTCGTTTTCAACATGTTAAAGTTTCAAAAGTAGAACCACTCACATCACTGTAATAGATGTGGTTAGTAAAATGACTTTTTATTTAACACAAGAGAATATAGCATGTCTTCTAATTTCAGTAAATTAATAGAAAACTGAGACACACCAAATTTGGATATTTTACTTACATTTCCTTTATTCTTTCTCAGACTATAGGATAGTTGAA